TTGCTCTTATAAACGCTTTACTTAAGTAATACTTGAGCATCAGTCCTGGGCCAGACCACACACCAGACTCCAGGCGATAGATAGGAGAATATGGCCAGGCTTGTCCGGTATCTGTGGGGCCACAGGCACAGAGCAAGCTGACCACATGAAGAGGGGTCTCAAATAAAACTGCTTTACAATAGACCCTGAGCTCGGCAATCACAGACCCAACCCCAGCAGGATTGTCACTGATAAAATCTAAGGCTAAGTGAGCCCACACTCAGCACTGGACGGCTTGGGGGCCACCCAAGGGCTCTCCTGCTTCTGTCATCATCCACTTACCCAGGTAAGCCTGCCCCAGGATTCTGAGCAGTAAAACGCATGCGGACAGGTTCCAGTGTGCACAGGTTTGAACAAAGGGTCAGCCACACTCAGGCCAACCTCCCTCCAGAAGGACCTGGCTCTCGAACCAACGAGAAAACTATGCCCACTTGGTACATGTGCAGAAACAGTGCCAGGAGTCAAGTTCCCAACTTGTCTGAAAGTCTGGGTTTTCTAGGGTCCCTGTATTTGCTAAAAATAAGGCACCGCTCTGGGTCACTGAAGAACCAACGAGAGGCAGGAAGTGAACGTACGCCGTAAGCTGTGCCGGGCCCTCAGTAAAAGAGCTGCCTAGAAATGTCAGAGGTGGGGTGGAAATTTTTACTGTCTCTGGAATATGAAGCTAAGGCCATGCCACCCACGCTTGGCTTGTGTACCCACAGGAGGCAGTCATACATCTGCATATCTTACCTGTGGCATGGAGAAATCAGTCTGGATAGAGGGAGGCCCAGAATGTAGGGGGGCACAGACTGTGGGGTGATGAAATTCCAAGCGCACGCACCTTCTGCTGCCTTTACCAGGAGGAACACAATATCACACTTAAGTTGCTTTCTCAGCCCACGTTTGCAGTGCGCTGCCAGGCATCCTACAAATGCGTGCCAAGTGTAGGTGTCAGGACCCCGTGAGGACACGTTAATACAGGTGTTCCATGTTGCCTCTTGCTCTTCCCAAGTGCCTAGTCATGCCCTACAGGTTTAGTGATGTCACCCTGTGATTTCCAAGAAGTCGACTGAGACCCTGGGTCCCAGATAAGGGATATGGGCCAGGGAGGGGTAGGAGGTAGGAAGAGAGTTTTCAATGAACAGAAACTCAACTTTGAGTTCCAATCAGGTTTCTGTTTACTTCCCTTCCCCAACACCCCTTCTGGGGCTTTCTCTTCTATGCTCTATCTGCCACAGATAACTCGAGGCCTCTGGAAATTTGCCCTTTGGTCTGTACATACAATACAGGGCTGTGGGGTGGGAATATGAGTTAAAGCCGAAAAGGACCATGCGGAGTGAATGGCCCTATTGGCTTACAAAATACTATATAATCTTTTTCTCACAGCTGCTGGCAAGACACAGAGAGTAGAAGGAGTGTTGGGGCATTTGAGCCTTGTTCTTTATCTCCACAGATGGGAGCTGACTGGGATTCCAGTGTGGGGAGCTGGTCTCTTTTCGGTGCTGGGTCCTCCACTTCCCTTGAGTGCTTAGCTACCTTGAAGGAGCCCTGGCAAGGCCCAGAAATCATTGCCTCGAGTGCCTGTTATGTTCTTCCTGTCCTAAAGGGGGAGGCTGTACAACTGTGTGATGGTTACCCCTCCTCCCTAAGGACACTGGACCGCAAAAACAAAAAGGCACACCGGGTATGCTGCATCGGCCATACTTGAATACGGCTCACAATGTAGCTACCCTACCTGCTTAGGCCCCACCTCTCTCTCCCACCCCAGTTAAAGAGGTCCCAGATGACCCTAAGTGTCTCCTCTGACACACCCATACCAGAACCTCTGTTTGCAAGTTACCCTGAAGATTCCTGCAGCCTCTTATCAGTCAAGCAGGCCTAATCTCCATCAGGACGGGCCCCAGGCCAGCAGCTGAGGAAGCTCCAGAATGTAGAACTGCTTGACGCCCAAAGCAAAAGTGACCAGTGGCTCGGATACGCCACAGAGGTTAAACATCAAACGTCTGGCACCCCTTTGGAGTTTGCACGTGGTCAATACCACATTGTGCGCAGAAAGCCAAGGACTCTGTGTAAAACGGCTGCGTGAAATGTGTCAGAATGTGGCCTTAGCTATCAGCAACACCGACTGGGTGACAAAGTCCACATTCTGGCCCCACACAGACCACAAAAGCAGCCAAACCCACTGTAACAGCAACTGTGTTAAGAAACAGAAAAGATACCCAGTACAGAGAAGATAAATGAGAGGAGGCTACAGGCTGTGTAACATCAGAGAAAGTCAGTTCCTTCTTTAAGACTGCCAACTAGCTTGCTCAGAGTAACCTGAGATACACCAGGATTCCCTGCTTTGAACAAGCAGATGAGGTTACATGGAAATAATCCACATTCCACTTCACGCATGCCCTGCCCGCTTTGAACGGATGTCAGGGTCCTGGAAAGGAGCCGTGTTTATTTCTGGAAGCGTGAGGGATGAGCAAATCTGGTCCCAACAAGTATGTTCTGGGCTTTCCCAGACCTCAAAATTTCAAGGCCTTATCTAGGGCAGTGGGACCTGTGCTCCAGTGGCCTGTGAAGCCAAAGACAGCTCCTTCTTTTTGTCTTGGTACACCAGGGCCTCGGGACTGTCGTCCAGCCATCCTCAGGGAGGTGGGCTCACTGGTCCTCATCCACATATCCCTCAGGAAGGTCACATGATAACATTGGATACGGTAAGTCACTGAGCCTAAGGATCATCCTGAACCCAGTGACCAAAGCTTTTCTTACACACCAGCTTGTCCTGCCCAGCAGTGTCTTCCCTGCAGCATCCCTAGTTCTCTTGTAAATAGAGCCAGTGGCCAGAACCATGTGTCTTAAGCTGAGTTCTCCATTTCAAAAGGAACTGGATTCTTTTTTTTCTGTCCTAAAAATGCCCTGTGAGACATTGGATGCACAAAGCCCCGTGAGGCATTGCATGCATAAAGCCCCGTGAGATGTTGCATGCACAAAGTCCCATGAGACATTGCATTCACAAAGCCCCATGTGACATTGCATGCACAAATCCCCATAAGATGTTGCATGCACAAATCCCCATGAGACGTTGCATGCACAAAGTTCCATGAGACATTGCATGCACAAAGTTCCATGAGACATTGCATGCACAAAGTCCCATGAGACATTGCAAGCACAAAGTCCCATGAGACATTGCATGCACAAAGTCCCATAAGATGTTGCATGAACAAAGCTCAGGCCCTTTCCACCACGGCAGAAGATGTGACTCACATCCCTGGCTCATGCCTCTGTCATTACACACTAGGCAGAGAAAGAAATTATTCTAAATTGTGCTAGCTGAAAACCAATTACTGTAGAGTACATTTTTAAAAGAATTTATTGAATACAAAGAAGATAATATGGATAGGCCTATGCAAGTCAACATCACTCTGCCCTTAAAGGAATTAGAGAAATAACCACAGTCACCTGATCCTGGCCAGCACTCACAGAGATGCTGTAACCCATGTTCTCCCAGATGTACCCTGGCCAGAAATGCCCATGAAGGACTAAAGAGGTTTTGCTTTGTTTGTTTTGGTTTTGTTTTTGTTTTTAACTTGTTTGTTTGGAGACAGGGACTATGTAGCCCATCATTCTTCTGTCTCAGTCTCCTGAATGCTTGAGTTGTAGGTATATACAGTCTTAAGATAAAAACTCTCCTTAGAAGAACTATCTTATATCTCCAGCACACAAACTGTACTTACTGAGATTCGCTGGGACGTAGCTATGATTTTGCAGAACTCATACTGACCCAGGGTGAAGAACCCAGGACTGGACTGGGAGCTTCTGATTTACAATTGTGTTCAGACAGAACTGCCCAGGAGCCGGAGACTAAAAAACCACACCCTCAAGTGATGCCAAACATTTACAATCAATAGAGAAGACACACTGCACGGAGAATTGGGCTTTTTCAGATGGCAGCTGCAACTATCAGTCCATCACAGCCTGACCACTGGATCTGGGGGAGACGGACATTAACTGCCCTGAAAATACTCAGAAACATGGGTAGCGTCATCCATGATAACAGAGAAGCCCAAACAGGAGGCTGCCTGTGCCCGAAGACAAAGCGTGTTGACTTTGTGACTGAGGAGAATTGACTTGCTTTGCAGCCAGATGAAGAGCATGGGGGGGGGGGGGCACGTCTAGTTGTCACCTGACAAATGGCATCTGGTGTCCAGCCAGGGACCCCTGAATCCTAATCCATCCCCCACAGTCACATCAGGTCCACTCCCCAAGCTAAAATAAAGAAGTACAAGAGAGTGTCAGCAAGACGTCTCCATGAGTAAAGGTGCTTGCTACTAAATTTGACAACCTGAGGTCAGTCTCCAGGACCCACATTGCCAGAGCACAAGCACTATGGCACACTCGCTATGACACACTTATACATGGACACACAGAAAAAAAAAAGTTAAAAATACCTTTTTTGGAAACAAAGAGGAACCTTCCAATTCTCTCTCTATTCTCTCTCTCTCCCTCCCTCCCTCCTCTCTCTCTCTCTCTCTCTCTCTCTCTCTTTCTCTCTCTCTCTCTCTCACTCACACACACACACACACACACACACACACACACACACACACACACACCCTGGGATATGGCAAGACTGGGAATCAGCGGTAGCTTTCCTGCTTATGTCCTACCACACCCTGCCCACAGAGGGCGCTAGCAGGAGTCCACGTGGTTAGAGGGAGAAGAAGGAACTCACCAGCTGCTTCCTGGTGGTTCCTACCACTCCTTCCCACCCCTGGCAGCTTCCCTTGGAGCCCTTTCTGTCAGCCAGGCAGGCAGTGGAACCGCCTTCCAGTATTTGAATTCAAATTTTGAGTTCTTTAACACTGAGACAGCCTCAGGATGTCTTTCAGTGAAGGGAGACAGGGACCCCTCTCAGGGGTGTGGGATAGGACCCTGCAGGGGCTCTCCTCCGCACTGAGTCAGCAATACAAGTCTTGGAATGTCTGAGCTTCACCACACTTCCCCCTCCTGCGGGCATCTAACTTCCAATAACTCTAGGGCCGGCGCCGGTTCCCTTGGGGGCTACCCCTGTCAATAACTGGATTCTTACTTTGCAGCCCTCTTTCGTCACCTGGTTGAAGAGCCTATTAAATGAAGACTGGTAAAGTCACTCCTGTGGTTTCTGTCTGCTGTCAGGACACAAACACCCATGCGGTTGCGCCTTCAGCAGCTACAATTGCCCCACCCCAAAAGTGTTGGGGTTGTCTACCCACAGCCTGCTTTCCGATATGGTCCCTGTCTGCCAACCTATGTCTAAACAGGAACAAGGGCAAGTTTCAAGGACATGGTGTATTGTAGCAGATGGAGTGTGACGTGGTAAGTTCTCAGGGGATGGCTTCAGGGCTCTTGGCTAAGCTTTGGCAAGCGGCTCCTTGCTGGCCTGTAGTAAGCCATAGGGGAGCTTCCTCATCGCAGGCCTCCTGGAGAAGATGATCTTGTTGTAGTTGGACGTGGGACCCTCTCTGGCTTCCATCTGTGATTGTGTAGGTTCTGGAAGGAGTGTGGAACTCATGTTTGTGGCAGAGCAAGGCTCCCACGTGGATTGCCTGGACTCGGACAGGGCATCCTTGAGCACGAGCTCTGAGGACTTGGATGACTTCTTCCTCTTCAGATGCACGAAACTAGGTTTGCTCAGCCCTGTGGGTTTGAAGGTCTCCTCGTAAGAATGAATGCACTCCAGGTCCCGGGCCCTGCTTTTGTCAATGAGGCGCCTTACTGCGGGAGAGGTGGATGTGACATAGGCTGGCCAGGGGTTGTGGCTTTCCAGCAGTGTCACGGGGAGTTCCAGGTTTTCTGTGTGTTCCACTAGAAAAGAAACACTGTGGTTTAGAAGCACTTGCACACTCAGCAATGCCTCAAAGAACTGCAGGGGTCTGGGATCACAGTTTGAAGCCTTCCCCCCTTTATTGAGTGGGAATAAAACCCAACCTAAAGGTAATAGACAGAATGGTATTCTACTGACTATATCGATTAAAGAACAGCACAATACTACTAAAGAGAGAGACTTTGATTAAACGGGCTTGCTTTCAAATGTTTTTATCCAGTTGTTTGTTTAAGCCCCAAATTCTAGTGTCCTCAACTAAATGTCTGCTTAGAAAGCTATTGAAGAGCCGGGCAGTGGTAGCGCACACCTTTAATCCCAGCACTGGGGAGGCAGAGACAGGCGGATCTCGGTGAGTCCAAGACCAGCCTGATCTACGAGAGCTAGTTACAGAACAGACTCCAAAACCCTGTCTTGAAAAAAAAAAAAAAAAGCAAGTTGTTGAAGGACTGTGATCTAGTGACCCCTGAGTGTTCACAGGAGGTTCATTCCAGGGCCCCCCACAGTTCCCAAACTCTGCGTGTTTTTAAGCTCCTTATTGCAAAATGTTGTGTGCTGGACATGGAGGTGAACACTAGTGAAGTCAACACTCAGGAGGCAGAGGCAGGTGGATCACAAGTGTAAGGACACACTGAGCTGCATAGACTATCTCATTTTTTTTTTTTAGTAGGAAAAGCAAGATGCAGTATTTGTGTAGAACCAGAGTAGTTCTTTCGTGCTTTGAAATTAACTCTAGAAAATAAAAACACTAACACAATCAGTGCTCCGTGAGTGGTTGTCTGACTGCACTATGTAAAAGACAATGCTTTGGATGCACCATTAATTCAGTCTTTGGATGCACCATTAATTGAGTTCAAGCACTTATACTACCCAGATACGTACCATCAAGGATGTGTTACGGCTTGGAAGAATATACCTTAGGAGACTTAGAGTTTGCTGGTAGAATGCTCGCCTCGCATGCATGAGGCCCATGTTTGAGACCCAGCACTGCAAAAAGAGAAATTTTAGCTGGATGTGGCAGCTTGGGCTTATAACCCCTGAACTTAGTAGAGACAGGAAGTTCAGGAGAGTTCGAGGCCAACCTGAGCTACACGAGAAACTGCCAAAACAAAACAAGACAAGACAAGAAAGAAAAAGAACAGAAACAATAGCAAATTAGGTTTAGGATTCAGAGCATCGGCCTGCTCCGCCTGAAATAGGATGAACCTTGAACGAGTGTCTCGCCCTTTCTGAGCTCTGGCTGCCTCGGCAGCAGCATTGACTTATCTGAGTGAGACCCCCTTTCCAAAGGCTTCCCTCACAGATTCGCAATAACTCGAGCCAAACCCTCAGCAGTTCCTTTGGTTATCTTCCAGCTGTTACCTTCCAGCTGTGTCTCTGGATATATACTGCATTTCGTCTTCATTGCGTCTTTCTGCTGTGGTTGTTGTTGTATTTGAGACAAGGTTTCTCTGTGTAGCTTTGGAGCCTGTAGACCAGGCTGACCTTGAGCTCACAGAGATCCGCATTCTCTGCCTCCTGAGTGCTGGGATTAAAGGCACGAGACACCACAGCCTGGCCTTACTGCATCTTATAATGTAGGCATCCTCCCTATTTTAACAGAGGATGGAACTGAGGCTGCTAATTTTGTACAGCTCACTAATGGTGGGGTCTGAACTCAGCGGTTATACAGTCCTCCGTGAAACTGCTGCCCGGAAGTTCTGATGCTTGAGACCATCGTGGGAGCTTTGCTGAGATTTCTACCCACCCGTTTGCTAGGTCCTTAGCCGGTACCGAGTTACTAGCACAGCAGGCCTTCCTTCTCACATCGTGGTTGCACTGCGTGTACCAGAAATGACAAACACCTCCCCTGCATCTGCCGCTGCCCCCATTTTTCCCGGTGGTGAATCCTTTCCCTGGTTTTACAGCCTTAGGTCATTTCAGTGGGAGTTTGTGAGGCAGAAGAATTAAGTTCATCTTGCCATCTCTAACCTGTGTTCAGAGAAGCAAACAAACATGGTAACTGGTATTAGTCAAGAGAAAAAATTCCCAGCCCTTGTGTTACTCTCCATGATTGCCAGTTACCTGGAACTATTAAGCAGAAAAGTCCAGGAATAAATAATTCACTGATTTTTTTATAAGATGATGTTATAATTTTATTACTAGTTACTACTGCTAGTTTTACTGAGTCTACTTTATAAGCCTCATCATGGATACTCATACATAGAAGATGACATAGTAGATACAGGGTTTAGTGCTATACGCTGTTTCAATCACTCATAGGTGTTTTGGGACACATCCCCTAGGGAACAGAAAGTACTGTGCACAGTTATTACCATATGGCCTTGGGGAACATGGAGAAGCTGGAGTTGGGGAACAGATCTGTCAACAAGGAGTGTACTGCAAAGAGTTCCATATCTCTGCTGTGGTCATGTATCCCCTAGCCTGAAGAACACACCTGACATGGTCTTTCACTAAGAAAGACCTATGGAGGCTCCAAGTACAGATGTAGATGTTGCCTCCTCCCCAGTCCCTCCTTGTATCCTCAAAGCAAAAGCAAATATCTTGCAGGTTGGACATTAACTTAAATATAGCAGAAACAAAGCAAGCAGCAGTCACGGCGTCTGCTAAATGTTGTATTTTCTACCAGCTCAAGAGCCGACCCCCTCTGCCCATCCCCTGACTCCTGTTATTCTTCTGCCCCAGTTCTCTCCCATTGTTAGAGTTTTCTTTCTATCACAGATCCAAATGGCTTTGGGAAAATGTGAAAGCCAGGGCCTCCCAACGTTGACCAGTGATCGATAGCCACCCTGAGGATCCTAAGTCCCGTGGTCTGCCCCTTTGGGGAGAGTTGGGTGGGTCCCAAGGCCTGCTAGTGTGGCCTTGCTCCAGCTTCTTAGATTGCATGACCAGTTCTTCAGGAGTCCTGATTTCAGATCCCCTGGCTTTTCAGTCTGAGCACTGGGCAGTCCTGGAGAGTCCAGGTCTTATTCCTACAAGTAAGGCAGGGGCACGGCCCCACCCACTAACTTGCGCTTCCCAGCCTGCATCTGGGTCAGAAGTGGCTGAGATGGTCAGGAAGCTGCCAGGAGACTCCTAGAGGGGCCCCAATGAGGGGCGAAAATCAGATTAATACTCTGTGTGTTCACGAAGACGGAAGAGCTGGTGGGCACCATGGTCAGTGGTTCTCAACCTCACAAGTCCGTCCACCTGGAGAGCTTGTCCAAGCAAGCAGATGCTGGAGACGGAATCAGGCCCTCACACTAGCATGGTGAACACTTTGGTGGCTAAGTCATCGCTCTTCTGCTCCAAGATTTCATTATTTATTACTCAGCTTTTCCATCTCTCTGGCCCTTAAGCATTTGAAAGGGTCATGGAGCCTTTCAGCCCTCACCTGCCAAAGTCCCATAAAAACATGCTGCAGAGGAGTTTTAATGAGTTCCCAGGAGATGTCAGTGTGACTGGGCACCAAAGCCTGAGAACTCTGGACCTAGGGTCAGTGCTTCCCAAATCTAACAATTCCTAGAATAACCCGCAGAGCCTGCGGCTGTGCCTTCCTCCCGGATGCTCCAATCCAATGGATCTGCTGGGAGTCTCTGAGAATTTGCTTCCACAGATAACTTCGAAGGATGACGATGCTCTCGATGTATGACCACGCTGAGTGCCACCCTGTTTGTGCCCAGCATGAGTAATTAGTGCCACCTTTGTCTGCGGCAACAGAAGTGAGCTGTGGTCTGCCACCTCGTTCACACATGGGCCACCCACCTCTGACACAGAAAGGCTCCATGTCTCCACACCTTTTGTTCCCCCCAATCAGGGAACTAATTATGGGATTTGAATATGTCATTAACAGAAACTAAGTTCTGATGTTTCCATAAAATATGCTATCCATAAATTTCAACATTTTATTCAAAACACCTACAAATGATAGCATCCTGGAGATTTGTTCAAATTAGAAAGAAAAAAAGAAGAAGAAGACAAAAGCCAAGACCTTTTAGATCCAGGTCTTGTAGGATTCTCCTGTGAGTTTCAGCAGCAATATTCCACAACAAGGCATTTAAAAATATAAATCAATATAGTTTTCTGAGGCTACAGAACAAACAATGCTCAAATTGTCCTCTAACCTAGAGAGAGATACTTGGGATAATTTTAAAGTAAAATTTAAGGCATCTTAGTTCTCCAAGACCAGCGCCGGGTTCTCAAACACCAAGGTCATCCATTTCAAGTTTTCTCAAACAGAGAGCATCCAAGAGGCCACCAAGCTCTTGCCTGCCACCTTCAGTGAGAGAGGACTCCACTTAGCACACGTGTTTGTAGAGCTGTTAGAATTTGTGCCACACACACACACACACACACACACACACACACACACAGTGCCAGATGGGGGAAACACACTGGGAGATGATAATATTTAGGGGACTGGGAATAACTCCTTTCGCCCTTGCTTCTAAATTCCTGATTAACAAATCTGAAGCAATCATGGAGCCTGGTTCCCAGTGGGCTCTGCTCTAGCACCACCGTGCTGTGTGTAACCTGGCGCCTCGCACGCTGTCTCACTGGGCTTCGTTGCCATAACACGGAGTGGCTGGTGGACCACGCCACCAGACAGTAGGTTTTCCTCATACCTGCCGCAACAGGGACTGGGAACGCTCTAGAAAACCAATGACGGAGATGCTCTCAGAATGCATGGAGAGGGCTTGTTTGTTGAAAATAACAAGAGATAAATAGTTGACATAGTCTGGAGACAAGCTGTGGCCTTTCATAATTTCCTTCAAGTCCAGCACAAAGGTTCTATTTTGTCTTCCTGTAAACGAATTGCAAAGCCACAGTCCCCAGACAGAAAGAGCATTGATGGGAGGGGTGGGAGGCCATGCTGAAGTAGCTTTCTTTTTGCTCCCATAGACACCAAGGTCTGCGTTCAAGCAAGCGGGTGCCCGGGGCGAGCGCTCCCCAGTCCTCACTCAGTTTCTCATCACAGCAGATTTAGAATCTCGTCTGCCCAAGGGTGGCACTGCCCTGGAGTGCGGCACAGCTGGGGCAGGGATTATGTTCCTTGAATTGTTAGGGATTCTGATGTTTCTTACGAAACGAAAACAGCAGTGAGTCCCTGCCCTGCTTCTCTTAGGGACTTATTCTTAGTCGTGGTTTCTGTTGCTGCGATGAAACACCATAACCGAAAAGCCAAGAGGGAAGGAGAGGGCTTATTTGGCTTACACTTCCATATCACTGGTCACCATGGAAGAAACTCAGGTCAGGAATTCAAACAGGGCAGGAGCATGGAGGCAGGAGCTGATGCAGAGGCCATGGAGTGGTGCTGCTTACTGGCGTGTTCCCCATGGCTTGCTCAACCTGCTTTCTTATGGAACCCAGGACCAGCAGCCCAGGCGTGGCCCCGCCCACCATGGGCTGGGTCCTCTCCCATCAGTCACTAGTTAAGAAAATGCCTTACCGCTGGGTCTCGTGGAGGCATCTTCTCAGTTGAGGCTCCCTGCTTTCAGACGATGCTAGCTTGTGTCAGGTTGACCTAAGACGGGCCAGCACAGGGAGACCTAGCTGTCTTAAGGAGATGTCTGGATGGGCAGTAAAGTGCTTTAACCCAGCACAATTCACATTTTGTTGTGCATTGGGAGTACTGCAGATCTTCAAAACCATGGTGCCGGCTCTCTTTCCCAACCTCGCGGTGTGCCAGGAATGAGAGGCCAAGCAGGAATCAAAGCTTCACTGTAGGGCAAAAGGCCTTGGGGAAGGTGGGTAAATGGAGGCTGGATTTGGTCAGGGTGCTATTGTATATTTGTATTAAATATGCTATGGAGCCCCATTATTATGCACAAATAATGTGTGTGCGTGTATTACATACGAACCAAAAACATTTTAAGAGAGTCAGCTTTAACTGTAAACTTGGTACAGCCTGGAGATAAAAGGAAAACCCTCCAGCTGGCCTGGGGGAAAGGATGGGGTGGGTGTTGTCCTGACTGTCATGGGGGGGGCCCAGCCCCCCCCCCTGAGAGTAGTGTCCTTACTGGAAGGTGGTCTTGGACTGGTTTAGAAAACTAGCTCAGCATGGCCGTGTGAGCCAGCCAGCAAGCACTCCTCTGTGCCTCCTGCTTCCCTCCACGATTGACGTGCAAGCCAAATCAAGACTTTTGCTCTTGGTCAGAGTCTTTTCTCACAGCAACAGTGATGCGGTGAACACCAGGTGATTCCAGCACACAGTACGACTTATGACTGATTGCTCGTGAATCTGTCCCCCCAGACACTGGCAATTTGTTAAGGTGATATTAACTATCTAGAGACAGGACACAGGACCAGAAGATTGTCTACAACACCAGCTTTCTTTCTGTGTTCACTTGCTATGTGCTGTATCTCATTGTCCTTTGAAACAGTTAACAGGACCATGGGGGCATTTCCACAACCGTGTGACAGCGGTAGAAAGACTTATACCAAAAGCAGAAGCAAGTCAGTGGCTGAACAGCACTGCAAACGAGGGACCAGCAGTGTGGATGGGATCCTCCAAAACTGATGACCTCACTCTGACTGCTGCAAGCTGTGCCCTTATCTCAGGAAACCATCTCCCAAAAGGATTTTGTGGTTCCAGGCAGGATTAATGGGTTAGTACATTGATACAAGTCAGCTCCCTCAGGCTTTTTGCCTGATGCTGTAAGACAGTGTAGGCTCAAGAGTGAGGCGCTAGCTTCATTTGACGGTGCCTAAATCTCTCGAGATGCTAATAGGCGTTGTTTAAGAGGAGAGGAAAGTCCAGGACAAGGGCCATCCATACAGTCATATAGGTCATTTAGCCTGAAAGCCACCATTAATAGGATCCATTTTGTACAAGATTGCAGGCATATTGCCAACCAAGTTTGTTTAAACACCACAGAATTTCTCAGGGCTTGTTATGTGCTGACTTGTTTCGCATCCTTTCAAGAGGCAGAGTGAACACGTATGATAATTTCCTTTGACTTGTCTGTCATACATGCATTAGTCAGAGAATCTCATGGAACTAGGAATCAATGAAACATTCGTGCAGATTTTTAAACAAGGTCCTTTCCCAGCCTTTGGGACTGCATACCTCAGAGAATGCGACAGTGTAGGGGCGCGGAAGGCTGAAGATGCGGGGCACAGCTGGTTCTGTCCTTACTGTAGCCTTCTGAAATCCTCCTCAGGGTGCCACAAAACTATCCAGATGTAGACAGCAGGCCAGCATGAGGGCTCGGTGTTTCTCTCAATGGCCTCATCTCTCTCTTTCCCGCTGCTGTCTGCATGCTTATCTTGTTGGGCTCATTCCCCCACCCCCACCCCCATCCCTTCCCCAGGGAATCGTCCTTCTCTGGAGGAGACTTGCATTCTCTCCTGGTGCAAAGGCTCATCTCCTCTCTGCACTTTGTCTTCCTCGGCTGTCCATTTCCTTCCCTGCCCTGCTTCTCTTTCTGCTGTCCAGCCACTCCCCACTTACTTTTGGCAGAGGAGGAAGCTGCCATTAAGAGCAGAAGTGTCTTGGAAAGCTGACCTTTGAAATGTACCAGGACTGGAACCAGCTCAGTGCAGTAGTGCAAGCATTGGGGGAGGGGGGGCGATCTCCAGCCAGAGGGACCTTCGGGGAGCCCACCGTGCTCTACTGTACAGAACGAGGGCCTTCACGGGGTGCCTGCATTTCACACCTGGAGGAATGGTTGAGTGCACACCACACCTTATCCTTATTACCACTCTCCCCGCTTTCTTACCCGTCACCCCTGTCCCATGAACATCCCCTTTCAGCCCCATGGGCTCTGGAGGAGGGGCATACAGGAGAGTCGCTAGATAGCTGAGGAGCACCACAAACCCTAGAGCTACAAAGACAGAGGGACAGGGGGAGGGGACAAGTTGGTCTTTCAGGAAAGAAGAACATTATGTGTCCCTCTCCCTTTGTGACAGTGCACGGCCACCTTCTCTTCCTCACCGCTGCCTCTTTCAACATACACTCTCAAGAAGAGAAACAAGGCCTTACTGCACTCTCTTAAGGATCAACTTGCAAATGGCGGGCCACTTTGATAGTGCTAAGTTCTGACACGAACCAGGCCTCTTTGGGGGGAACCAATGATCACCACTCCATCTGGGGTGTTGCCGTGCCAGCCTGCTCAACGCTGCCCATCTTCTAACACCAGCCTGTTATTACGGGATCCCCCCTTCCGTGTATGGGAGGAGCCATGCTTCTGGCTAATAGGATGTGCGGTGCATATGTGTTCTAAGGATTAATGTCGTAACTTTCAGGTGCTTGTTTTCCAAGCATGGAAACAGTCTGTGCACCTGCAGACATACGGTGTTTATTCGCTCCCTGTAGCTACAGTGCACTGCAAACACGGTGCTGAGCAGCGTGGGTCCAGAACCATAGTACATTTGTGCGTTCACCCCTCTCGTTCTGGTGTCCGCCCTTCTCAATGTCCAGGATCCACAAAGCAGGTTTCTCATACTCACAAGAGATCAAACAAGACTAATAGATGCCATCCATGTCATCAGAAAGAAGAGCAGAGAAAGTGTAGAACATAAGTCTAAACATATCCCATCTGCAGCCAGACTGAGCAGACCAAGACAGGGCAAGCTGCTCGCAGGCCTGTGAAGAAGACAGAGCCCCTTGGATGCGGAAGGGAGAAATGGAAAGAGGGATCAGGAAGGAACACGGATTCTGCTGAATTGCAAAGGGCAAGGAGAGTGATGGCAGATCTCAGTCTTAAGGACAGTCCTGGCGTTTCGCTCTTCTCTGCTCAGGACACATTCCTCCCATAGGCAGCCACTGCTGTCTCCAAACGGTCTGCTTTTTGTGCATGACTTATCAGGATGCTTCAACCAGTTCAGCATCATAATTCATGTGCAAACACTCCCCAAATTCCCTACCGCAAGAAGTGCTGAGCGGTGCACCGCTCTCAGGAACAACCACGAACATGAATATTGCATCTATTCAAGAACAACTCCATCTAACACACTGTTCCTTTTGAAAGATCTAATACGAAGACCCATTAGGCGCAAAGCACACGTGGGCTGTGTTATCTACACACTGAGCTCCAACTTAAAAATAAATTTCTAGAACAAACCAAACAGAGAAAGGAGCCTTTCTGCCTTTTCCTGCATGGACACTGAGGGTAGACTTGTACATTAATCAGCTAGTCAAATAGGAAAGAGATGGAGAAACAAGCCTAACAGCCCATTCCCAGGAAACCAAACATGAAAAGACTTAGGCAATCTGTGCCCAGAGACCCCCTTACTGCTGACAGCTGCCTCCTGAGCAATGGAGCTCTGAAAATGCATGGCCGCACAATGACTAATCAATCAGAAAGAGGAAGTCCTGCTCCCACTGGAACAATGGGGCATTGTGAACCTAGAGAACACACAGGGAAACAGCCAGCATTTCCCAGGGCTGATCTCGACCTCCTCTCAGATGCTCGGAGCTTAGGAATGGAAGGCCAGGAACCCAGACTCTGAAGAGATTGACTGGCACTTGAGACTCTTCTAGAAGCAAAGAATGAAGGTAAACACTCACTCCTGTAAGATTTTGTTATTCTTTTGTTATTGACAGCCGGGTCCCAGTTCATGCCAGAATGTGACAAAAGTCTGTATCGCCACATGCTCACAACTCTCAGGTCACAGGTGCCTCCAAATTATGATTGATTCAAACTCCCAGTTGTCGGGGGTGAAGGGCCCCCAGGTGAACAACAATCCGAATTGTCATAATGAAGACTGACGAGTCTGCACATTGTCACAAACGCCCTCCGTGCATACCCGGCAATAACTTTCTCCCTAACAACCGAGAGAGAAGAAATTAAACTAAAGGATGTTGGAGCACTTGACTAGGAAGGCAGCTCAGATCGGGAACTTGAGCATTGTGCAAACTGGGAAGATGGAAGTCTGTGGGATTCAAAGCTCTGTGCAAACGCTGCCTGGTAATAGGGCTCCTTATTTCCTTCCATCTGTGAATTGCCACCACGGTCACTAGAAAACTGTGACCAGGAAGTGGACCAAATTGTCAGCTCCTTAGGAAAGCAATTTGAGACATGTGCCATGGGGAAGATGGCTATCTCTTTGTATGTTTCCCAAATTTAAGTATACATTTGTCAAAGGCATTTGTATGTGTTCTTATAATAGACATTATTTATCAGCATTATATTTATCAAGTTTGAATGATCTATTTTTGAAATCTCACAATCCTAATGCTATCATGCAACTCTTGCCCCACCCATCCTGACACAGATCCTTTTGAGCCTATCCCTTTCAGTAGCCATTATATTGCCTTTGTTTGCAGTGTTAAAGATTCCTCATAATTATTTTAGCGGCTACTCAACAATCCATCTAAGGAATGAATCACTATCAATGATGCCTCTGTTTGGGGATTTTAAGGTGTTTCCAGTTCTAGCCACTAGAAGTGAAGAGCAATGTCTTTTTTATAGAGTATTTTTTATTTTTTATGATTTATTTATCTTTATTTTATTTGCATTGGTGTGAAGGTGTCAGATCCCCTGGAACTGGAGTTACAGACAGTTGTGAGCTGCCATGTAGGTGCTGGGAATTGAACCCAGGGCCTCTGGAAGAGCAGCCAGTGCTCTTAACCACTGAGCCATTTCTCCAGCTCCAGGAATGTCTTTTAAAATAGAATTCAAACAGCTTTCTGATTTTTTTGAGGTTCTGCCCAGTTAATGCTGCCTGCTCAAGGTTTCTCCTCGGCAAAGGTTTCCACATTGCCAAAGCCACTTTCCCTCCACTGTGAGGTGAGCTCCTCCCTTATATTCATGGACAAAAGCAAACAGGTGAGATGTTTGCCTGGTGGACTCTAGGGCTCTGAATCACCAGCTCCAGGTCTCCTCCTCAATGCAGTGCAGCCCAGAACAAGAATAAGAACAGGAAATGTGATGAACTCTGTGACCACCACTGAAACAAGGCAGAGGCCTCAGGAAGGATCTTCATGCTGGAGGACTGTATGGCAAAAGCCCCCAGGTGTCATTCCTGTCACGGAATCTTTACAGAAGGAGCTGGGAAGAATCTGTCCACCTGGTGACTCAGGCCTATAAACCCAGCTATTCAGGAAGCTAAGGCAGGAGGGTCACAACTTCAATGCCAGCCTAGTAACTAAGGAAGACATTGGGTCTAAATAAAAAATCATTTGGGAAGTGAAAACTTCATTCCAGCTCAGGGATTATAGCTTGTAGAGGTTATATTCTCTGCCAAGCATACATAGAGAACTATATTCAAAGCCTGGTACCAAGAAATAAACAGAGCAAAATCAAAATAAACAAAAGCAGCCCAAGAGACCACTCGTGTAGCTGTGTCAACTGTGGACAGAGAAGCTGCAGATGGAGAGGATGCATCCGTGAGTTAAACAGGAAAGCTGGATGCTTCCCGACATGATGGAAGAAAAGCAACAGGACCAATGAGAAAGTATGAGCGTTCAAGCTGCTGGAGCAGTGTGGAGCCCACCAGAGCCATCTCCAAACCACTGGGTGCTAAGCTCCCAGCCTACGGAAGCCACATTTGGCAACAAGCCAGGTGACGGCTTCCAGGCCAAAGAACCGTGGAAAGCAAACCAAAGCCACAGCGGGCTCAAGCTGTTCAGCAAGCGACAAGGCCACCAGCATCACATGTTCCCAAAGGAACAGAGGCCAGCCCAGAACTGTCACACAAAATGCATGTCACACAAAACGCATGCCACGGAGGCCCTTAATGAAGCTTCTGAGTCTTTGAGAAATTATCACTTAAGTTATAGTTAGTGAAATAAACCAGTGTCAAAATGACACGGTAGGTTCTACTCTGGTATTTGAAAGCCTAGCCCATGGAAACAGTTGTCAAGGGCCGTGGGGAGAGGAAAGTGGAGGTTCGTTGGCGGCAAAGTTTCACTTATATGAAGAGAGTAAACTCTAGAGATCTGCTAGGTGTGTTGTACCCACAGCAAACAAGCGGGCTCCCTTACGTTTTTGAGGGCAAATCTCACACTTCAATAAAAGGGCACAAGGAAGCCTCTGATGGGTGTGTACCTTTCCTACAGTGAGGCATGCATATGTCCAAACTCAAGTTGTAAACTCAAGCAAAATAAACTTTGATATGTCCGTCATAGCTCATAAAGATGCTCTCAAAAAGGAAATTGCCAAACTCTGTTCCATATTGTCTACGGAGAAAGCAGAGAAGTACAGGAAGGTTTGTGACGTTTATCCTCCAGCATACACTAGGTGAGGGTACCACAGATGCAAGAACATCCGTGTGGCCTCAGAAGTGAATAAGAAAAGTGCAACAGGGACTGGGGGAAGGCTGAGTTGGTAAAGGTTGTTTTGCAAGCACAAGGAGAGTGTGATCTCCAGGACCCACGTTAAAAAGTTGAGTGTAGAGGTAGTGCTGGGGAGGAAAAGAGCCTCGCTGGACAGCACCCTAGCTTCCTGTTCTGGGTCAGCAAGAGACTGATACAAAATAATATACTGACAGTAGCTGAGACTGACCTCCGACCTCCACACACATGCCCACGTGTACGTGCACAGTCACACATGTGCACATGCCTGCACACATAAACACACACACACAAAGGCTAAATCATGATCTGATCACACTGGCGACTATAATCTCTTTTGCTATGTTCGCTAGGCAATCTTCTGGAGAATGACATTTTAATAATTCATAGATTTACGTACATTGTGAATTGTTATATTGGGATACTGAATTATCAACCATTTTCCTTTGAAATGAGCTTGGTCAGGATTAATCACATTGCCAAAGCCTTATCATTCCATGTCTTCAGTACCACTAATGCCTTAAAAATGACCAAAGTACATTCCTCTGACCAGTCTCTTCTCAGAGTAGATTCTAATCCCTATTGCTTGTTTGTTGTAGAATGAGTGGGGTCCCTTGTTTGTCCCAGCTGCCTGGCTAGGTTAATCCCCAAAATAACCACATGGAAATTGTATTAATTAAATTATTGCCTGGCCCATTAGCTCTAGCCTCTTATTGGCTAACTCTCACATCTTGATTAACCCATTTCTATTAAATCTGCGTATCACCACGTGACTGTGGCTTACCGGCAAGATTCTAACCTACATCCATCTCAGGCCGGAGATTCATGGTGTCTGCCACACTGTGCTTCTTCCTAGCATTCTGTTCTGTCTCCTCCACCCACCTAAGGGCTGCCCTATCAAAAGGCCAAGGCAGTCTCTTTATTCACTCAGTGAAAGCAATACACAAACAGAAGAACCTCCTACACCACTAGTTGAACAAGCTCCTCCCTCTGCTGTTGCATTTCCTCAAACCGAAACTGTCGGGAACCCAGGTCCCTGTCTGTTGTCTCACTGTACTTCTGAAAACACCCCCTCTGTCTCCAGGACAGTTTCCGTTGAGGGCATGCCCATCCTTCCTGCTTCCCCAAGTGGAAATGGAAACCAAACTCCTCTTCCTCTCTTGTACCTCAATTTCAGGATCTGTGCCCCCAAACATGTCTCCTTCCTTCACCCTCTTTCTGGTTTGTTCACCACTTGAAAGCTACAGGTGGAAGCCTTCATCAAATCTGTGCTCATGACTCATCGACTGCCAAGCACTCAACAGGTAGGACACTTCCTAAACCTGGAAGGAAATGAGCAAGATCTAATTATGTCACACTCCTCTTTGAAACTCATGATGTACTGCCTAAGATATAAAAGGCAATGTTCCTAGCTTTGGAAGACCAAACTCTTCAACACTGCATCCCAGCAAAGTGGCCCCATTTTTTCTTAATTGTATGTCAATTTGGCACAAAGCTAATCATTTGGGAAAAGGAAGCCTCTTCAGAAGTCAGGTCTATAGGCAGTTTTGCCTGTGGGGTATTTTCTTGGTTAATGATTGATGTGGGAGGGACCATTCTACTGTGGGTGGTATCAGCCCTGGGAAGATGATCCTGGATTGAGCAAGCAAGCCATGGGGAGCAAACCAGTAATCAGCATTCTTCCGTGACCTCTGCTTCAGTTCCTGCCTCCAGGTTCCTGGTCTGACTTTTCTTGATGAAGGACTACAGTCTTTAAGATAAAATAAACCCTTTCCTCCCCAAGTTGCTTTTGGTCACAGTGTTTTAGCTCAACAATCAAATCCCCAAGACAATCCTCATCTTGGCTTCTACAGCCATAAGTCTGCCCTGCACACACACACAATACACATGTTCATGCACACACGCATCTTCAAAAAGCTGAATATATGCATTTGAACATATACATGTACACAAAATAGGTACAGACTTGTGATCGTGTATATAAAAAAGTATGTGTACACATGGCCCCTTTATACCCAAATGTACATGTATGTGCACACAA